GACCCCAGGAGCAAGCTAACCTACTAGTTGCAGCGTCTGCCCCCTTGGTGGTCAGTGCATGTCATAAAGAGCAGTTGAGCGGACTTAGCATATCATTAGCATGTTATGCTTTGATTGTTCAAACAGCTGACTGGATGACTGGACACTTAGCATATTAGGCTTTTATTATATAGGATATATATATGTATATATATACACACACATATATAATACATATATATGTATTACATATGTATTATATATGTAATATATATTATGATATATTTGTGTGGTTTTGAGGGATAGAATGTCAATCTCCCTCCAGAGACCAAAAGCACAGTGAGGATAGACACTCTTCTGTATACTGCTGTATCACCAGCACCCAGTGTGGTGCTTAACATATATAGAAACTTACAGACATTTGTGGGAAGAATGAATGAATGAATGAACCGAAGATGCGACCTGGGCACTCAGTAGCATCTGCTTTTGTAATCACCCTCCCTGAATTCTGTTGGGGTCCAGCCCCTGCAGGTCCAGGGGTTCCCAAAGGTGTGGACGGAGTCGGCAAAGAAGGAAAGGCACAGAGACAGCGTTCAGGTGATCATCATAGCGAGGTTCTCTCTTTATTGTCCTATTACATCTATATTTATACTATTTAATCCCATAAGCATGCCTCTATAATTACATCATGGAATGTTTTGGGTCTCATTCTACAATTCCTTGTTTCTTATCTGCCCTTTGCCAAAAATCCTGTCTCTATCTAGTTCTGTTGATTTTAATCTTGTCTATGTTAATCTCTGTGTTCCATTACAAGGGCTATTCCAAGGTCAATGTTCTACTGATAAGCTACAAGGAAGTGACTGAGGGAGTTTATCCTACCCACGAAAGGTTATGTCCTCCCAGCCTTGCTGCTTGCCTTCCCTGGGATTGCCCTATGTCGGTGGGTCTCCAGGGGCATAGGCTTTGGTGCTTTCCCTGGTGGGCAGACCTCTGGGGATGTGGGCTCAACAAGTCCCAAATTTATTGCCAACAGTCTTAGTCCAAGTTCTTCATAAGTAGTACATGGCATTTCTTTAACACTAGGGGATTTACTGATTTATTCTCTTCTTAGTCCTGTTAACCCCTAACCTGGGGAAACAACCTTTCTCGGGGAGGTGGTCCTGGTTAAAACACATAGCGTTAAGAGGGGGAGCAAACATATGTCATATACGCCAGGTCCCTTGTAACATAAGCTGTGCAGATGTTTCTTCCCTGCAGCGAATATATCAAGCAGCAAGGGTGGATTGGCTTCCAGCAGAATTCTGTCTTATAGTTTAATGTTGTGATTTCAGGGGGAGGCTCCCTTGCCCCCCATCTTTTCCATACTGATAGTATTGTAATCTCCATCTCTCTCTCCTTTCCCTCCCCCCCAACCTTCTTGTTCTCATCTTCATCATCATAATTTACGACAGGTGCTTTATAAACAGTTTCATTAAATCTTCTCAAATAGCCTGCAGCTGCAATCTCCATTACATGGATGGCAAGCCTGAGATTGAGAGAAAATGTACTTTAGCCAAAGTTGTACAATTATTAAATAGTGAAACTGACTTGGAGCTCTTAAATTTCTATCGTTCCACTGTACCATAAGCTTTCTCTTCACTTGGTCATACTTCTCATTCATTCCACAGTTACTGATAATCTCTACCAGGCACAGTACAAGGTGTAACTGAATAAAACAAAACTAATTAGGCCCTCCCACTTTTGTCAATTACAGTAGACTTATTTAGTATTAAATTAAGGTTCATATTGACCTGCTGTTTGGGGTGCGTGTGTGTGTGTGTGTGTGTGTGTGTGTGTGTGTAAAGGCACAATAACAATGTTTTTTGCAACGCTGTGAAATTATTTTAAACAACTAGTTTGGTCTCAATATTAAAGAATTAACCACATTGAATGAACCAGAGTTTTTGTGGCTGGGAGCTGGAAAGTGGTAAGGAAGGAGAGACAGTTCTGAAGCAGCCCCTCTTTTTAAATTGAGATATATTTCACATACCAAAATGATTGACCCAATTTAAAGTATAAAATTAATGGGTATATTTAGTATATTTACAAAGTTGTGCAACCATTACCAAAATCTAAGTTTAAATTATTCTCATCATCCCCAAAAGATACCTCTTACTCTATGCTACCCTCCAGCCCCTGGCAACCACTAATCTACTTTCTGTCTTTATAGATTTCCCTGTTCTGGACATTTTATATTGAATAATATATGTGGTCTTTTGTGACAGGTTTCTTTCACTTAGCAACATGTTTTTAAGGTTCATAGTGTTGTAACATGCAGCTGTACTTCATTCCTTTTTATAGTGGATACATACGTTTTGTTCATCTACTCATAAGCTAATGGACATTTGGGTTGGTTCCACTTTTTGGCTATCATGAAGAATGCTACTATGAACAAGGATTTGTATGGATATATGTTTTCATGTCTCTTGGGTATCTCTACCTGGGGAGTGGAGTTGCTGGCTTGTTTGTTAACCCTAAGGTTAACACTTTGAGGAAGTGTCAACAGCTTTTCCTTATGAGGAAAAGTTTAGGTTTTTGCCCAGAATTTTGAGTGCCTGTGTTTGGCTTTGCAAGGCCCTCACTGTTTGTTTACATCCCTTCTATTCTTGAGTGTCCTTTCCCCCCTTTATTTACCTCCTTTATTTTCTTCTCTTTAGCCTCCAGCCACCCTGCTGATCTTAGTAGGGGACTGAGGTTTTCAACACCTAAAAGTTATTTGTAAAATATTTTGAGCTCTCTGCAGGACGGACATTAAAGTTATAATGTTTATCTGTTTATCTTTGGCTTACGCACCATGATGTTTTGTAACAAAAGAGCTTATTGAGTAGGAGGCTTATTTAACTTGGCCCTGAGGGTCACACTCCTACAACATGTTGTCCCAACAGATTCTTACTTTCCCAGCTCCCAGACGGAACGTTTGGAACAATCACTTTGAAGTTTCTTGTGGATATTAACACCATTAGTAAAACTGTGTATGTAAACAGATATTGTGAGCTTGTAAAATCATGTATGTAGAGTTCTTAGTGTGTGCCTGGCACATAATAATTGGGTAATAAATTGTCATTTTTAAAAGTTACTATTTAAAAACAATTGATTTGTTTTAGGTAAGGCTGTCAGTGTACAGCGGAGCTTTGACATGCATTTTACGTTAAGTGGAGGATCGTGAATAAGAAAAGAGAGCCCAGCGTTCATTTACAGGTGAGGCCCAGTCCAGGATAAATGAAATGAGTCAATCATTTCCCCTAGCATGCCAGACCTCTGAATTATGTCGTCCGGCTGCGGAGGATTAGAGGCTGCTATTAAGATTCCCCTTCCTTGACCCGGTCCAGTTCCCTGCTTCGGGGAGCCTACAGTGAGTCACCCTGAAAAGGGGAGCAGAAGAAAAGGGGAGAGGCACGCGCCCCGGGGGTGGAGGAGAGCCGCGGGACAAACTGAGCAAAGGAGCCTCGGAAGGAAGAGGAGGGGCAACTGCGCGTGGGGAAGAGAAGGAAGAGGCGTCCGGGGAAAGGAAGGGAAGGGAGTGGAGGAGAGGAAGAAAGAAGGCGGGGGGAAAACAAGGGGGCGAGCGGGGCGGGCC